AAAATAAATCAAATGAAATGAAAGTAGAATTAAAGGAATTTGATCTGAGAGGAAGGTTGTAAAAGATAAAAAGAAGATAAGGATGAATAACAGTATGATTAGGTAAGAGAAAGTCATTTGGAAGATATATATGAGTTTCATCATATGTATTACTAACAAAGAAAGTAATGCTAGAGACAGTGTTATTATGGTAATGTTTATCAATATATTGTAAAAGAGATTGAATGGTTTGACTATGAGAAAGAAATAGTAAGTTGTAATAAAGAAGAAATTTGTTGAAACATATATAAAGATATAGAGGCTTAAAGATATTGAGAATAATCTTTTGAGATTGTCTTCTACAGAGTCGATCACTATATGCTTGGCTCTTACTGCTGTGCAAGGTACCAAAGTTAGTCCTGTGCATTGGGTCTGACCATCATTATTTTGGCCTTCTATATAAATAGGCTTTATTGCCTGCCTACTTACTTCATTTTTTCTATTAACTACTGTAAGTGTATCATTTAATAGGATGGCAGTTGCATCTATGAGTTTTGTAAAAGACAAATTTATTAAAAAGAAGCCTGTTCTTCTTGTTCTAAGAAGAGTGACTTTGCAATAGATATAGGTATTTCAAATTTAATATTAAATTTTTTATGTAGAATAGCTTTAGCTTCTGGTAGTGCTTTTTCTTTATAAAATTTAGTCATTGTAGAATAGTTAAAAGATTCATTATAAATATAGTCAAAGTATGTAATAACATATGCAAGGAAGTCAGTTTTGATAAGTTTAGGTATAAGAAAGTTAATAGCTTGTTGTTTGTCCATTTTATCAATATTGTGATTTTTTGAAGCAGTGTTTTGATAGATAGTTAGGTACTGGTAGAAATAGAAGGCTTGTCATTTTGGATTAGTTCTAACAAAGTTAGAGAACAGGTATACTCTTCAGCTTTTGCTGCCAGTTCATCTAGAACAGTAATGAGAATTTGTTTGGTAAATATAGCTTTATGTTTACCTTTAACATAAAATATTAAAGCATCAAGAAAAGATTCATTCCAAGCTTCAATTTTTTTTGAATAGGTATTATATGATGTGTCAAATATATTTTTAATAAGTTTGGTTGAATTATGTATAAGTTGTAGCTTAAGATTTGTTTTTTGAGTATTATTGGGTTTCTTTTCAGTTTCAGGTTTTTTATCAGATTCCTTTTCCTTTTCTTTATCTTTAGTTATAACTGGTTTAAGATAAGGGCATTTGAGATTTGTATAGGTAAGTATATGATAATTGGCATGTCTGAAAGTTTTATTACATCTTTCATGAAGACTAGTTGGTAGAAGTTTTTTAAGGTGAGTAATAAAATATTGTCTAAATTTATACTTAAGATAGTTTTGAACTTTAGTTTTGTTGATAGTATTAGAGAATTGGTAACTGTATATAGAGAAGATTTTTTCAAACCATTTATTAAAATGATAAAGTAAATTTTTTAAAGATGATATATTATATTTTTGGAGAAATAAAGTTTTAGAAAGGTTGAAATTAAGTTTGATATTAAATTAATTATTCATTTTAATAAAGAGGAATTGATGTTGTTTATTAACTTCAGTAACCTCAGATGTAATGTTGAATCTTTTAAATCTAAGTTTGATAACTTCTGCAAATTTGGTATAGTTAATTGCTTGATAATTATCAAAAAGATATAGGTAAAGTTGGACAAGGTTAATGCAAAATTGTAAATCGTTATAGGTTTAAATAGGTAAAATGGTGGCAAGTAAGACAAATATTTCAAAATAATTAAGTTTAGTAAAGAAAACTGTTGTAAATGTAAGAATAAGTTTTTTGAGTATTTCTTCAAGAATACTAATTGGTATTGTAGCAAATTTGTTATTATTGAAATTATATTGTTGAATTAAGTTAGTAAGAAATTGAGGTCTAGTACCAGCTATTTGTCTAATTAATAGATAAAAGTTTGCTTTAAGTGCATCTTGATTTCTAACTGCTTTTTTAATAATTTTGACAAGATAGAAGTTGTGAAGGTGTTCTTTAAGAAAATTAAAGAGTTTTCATAATATTTCTGTATGTAGTTTTGTATAGTTTTGCATTTCTTCAGTAACTGGAAAGTTTGCTAAAAAATCATATGATGGGTTAAGTTTGGGTCTTGTTGTTTGGCTATAGGACTGGGCCAGTTGAGATTGTTAAGTTAGTTTTTTGTTAAGTTGTTGTTTGTTAAATAATAGTGGAGCTTGATATGAAGGTTGTTGTTGTTGTTGTATTTGTTGAGTTTGTAATTGTTGTTATTGTAGTTTTAGTGATATAATGGAGCTGTCGATATTCATATCATTGTTAGTAAAAGTTGTTTCTTCCAAGTTAAGTAGAATAAATACTAGTTCTGAATTAAGAGAGTTGTTTTGTTGTTGGTTGAGTGAAGAGATAATAAGTTGTTGAGTTGAAGACTTATATTGTGAGGATGAATCTTGTTCTGGGTTTTCAGTAGATTAGGGTTTGGGTTAATTAGCTAAGCTAATTTCTTGATAGATTTTGGCTAAGCAATTGTTATAATATGCTGTATTTTAATAAAAAATAGATTCATTTTATAATGCATAATTATTGTTAGTTGCTTTGCAGTTAATTGGAATTTGACATTTAGGACAAATGTGTGTATAAATAGTGACTGTGGAAGATGATAGAATATTTGATATTAATTTCTTAAGTATTTGTTAAAATTTCTTAGCTTATTTGTTGGTTGTTGTTTCATTAGTTTGAGTATTAAGTTCATATATTTTGTTGTTTTCTGCAATAAATTGAGTGTAAAATAGTTCACACATATACTTGACTGTTGCAGTTGTTGTAGAAGCAAGAAAGATATAAGTTGCTGGATGAGTTCTAAGTTCCATAATAATGCATTTGATAGGTTTGTATTTGTCTGAAATAGCTTATATTTGTCTAGGTTCTTTTTCATAAATAGCAATACTATAAGAATTTGTATGATTCTTAAAGAAATAATCAAGATCTAAGGTATCTGATACTTCTATGCTAAGAGTAGTCATAGTGCTACAAGTTTACTTAGAAGTCAGAGTTTAGATTATTTAGTAAAATTTTTTGTAATCTTTAATTAAAGATTTTTAAGAATTTAATTATAATATAAAATTAATTGTAGAGTATAATTTGTATTTGCAAAGGTTTAACTGTGACTACTGCAGTTGCTGCAGCTTGTGTAACCTTATATAATATAGGTAACACAAGTTTGTGGCTGGTGTGGCTAGTGTGGCTAATGTAGTACAAATTTATAAATAGTTGAGTATTATAGTAATTATTGTGTAATTGAATGCAAAATTTATTTTTAGCCAGTTAGTACAAGATAATTTGTAACAAATAAATTTCTTTTTTGGATAAGTTTAATTTACACAATGTGAAATTAAATGAAACCAATTTTAGAAATAATTTGAGGTTACATGAAAAACGTTTTAGAGAAAAAATTTGAGAATAAGGACAAAGGAATAAAAAAAAGGAAAATAAATTACAAAGGAGTTAAAGTTGTTTTCTATTATAATTCCATCAATTTTAGGCCTACAAGTTTCTTTTTGGCTTGTTTTGATCAAATGATGTATTTTATAACTTTTCTTATGACTATAAAATAGGTTAACAAGTTACTTTATAAGAAATAATTAAAAGTTTAATAGTGAAGGTCAAAGGCCGTTGTTGCAGTATTAAACTGTGAGTTCAAATGTTATAGACTTGAAACTTTCAGAATATATGTAAAATTAGTAGCTGAACATGTTTATTTAAGACATCAAAGTTAGTTATCTTAGTAAGATAACTTGATATTAGCAATTTTAGTACTAACAAATTTTTAGTTATTTTTATATAAAAAGGATTTACAGAAAAAGTTTTTAAAATTTTTGCTATTTAAATTCATGTTAATTCAAATAATGAAATAAAATTGATGTATTTGTTTAAATCAATTGTTTAGATAAATTAATAGATCATTTACATTAAATAAATTTTTGCTATCTAAATTTATATTAATTCAAATAATAGAATAAAATTGATGCATTTGTTCAAATCAATTATTGTTTAAATCTTTTTGTTAAAATTCAAATTATTAAATAAATTTTTGCTATTTGAATTCATGTTAAATTTAATAAACTATGAAATAAAATTAACATATTTGTTCAAATCAATTAAATAATATTTAGATGAATTAATTAGTATTTTGCTAAAATTCAATTGTTAAATGAATTTTGCTATTTAAATTCATACTAATTCAAATAAATCATAGAATAAAATTGATATATTTGTTTAAAAATTAAATAATGTTTAAGTGCATTAATTAATCTTTTTATTTTTATTATTTAAATTCATGTTAATTCAAATAAATCATAGAATAAAATTGATGTATTTGTTCAAAAAAATAAATAATATTCAAAAAATTAAATAATGTTAGATGAATTAATAGATCTTTTTGCTGAAATTTAAATTATTAAATAAATTTTTGCTATTTGAATTTATGTTAATCTAATAAACTATAGAATAAAATTGATGTATTTGTTTGATTCAAATAATTTTTTTATAGCTTTAATTATTTTTTGAATTTTATATAAATAAAGAAATTGTATAATATTTTCTTTAACTTTAAATAAAAATGAAAATCAAATGTAAAATAAACAACAAGTTTCAAAATTACAATTATCAAAAGTTAATTGTTCCAAAACCTAAACCAACTAAGATGATGAAATTTTGGAAATTTTTTTTTTAGGAATAATAGCTATTCAATTTCAACAAAGTGATAATGTATTTGTCAGACTTAAAAAAAAGATTCAAGAAACATTTAATCTTGAAAAATTGAAAGAAAATGAAAGTTTAGATAATGAAATACAAAGTTCAAATCTAAACAAAAAATAAAAAAGTAAATTACAAACAATACATATTAATCAAGAAAGAATGTTTATCAGATACAATGAGATAAAAAATAGAATTAAAGAAGAAACTGAAATTGATCGATTAAGAAACTTTTAATTCTAGTATATGCAAATTACTAGTAGTCAAAATTTGACTGAAAAATTAAAAAAAGAACTTCAAAAAATGAGAAAAGATAGATTGAATTTTCTATTTAATTACAATGCAGAATTTAACAGAATTCAACAAAGGATTCAAGATAAAACTGATATAGAAAGATTAAAAGATTTTTGGTTAAAAGAAATTGCTAAATCTAAATTAAAAACTGCTAATAAAAAAAAACTTAATGATCTTAGACAAGAATGTATCAAAGAATTAGAACAATCACAGTCTGGAACAAATGATTTCAATTATATCATGAATGAAATACAAGATGAAAATTGTATCCTACTATTGAAAGTAAATAGATATTGGTTTAGAGAAATTCAAAATAGTAAAAATTTGAATAAACAACAAAAAGTTATTTTGAACATACAATGTAATGAAAGATTAAAAATACTATTAAATAAACAATATGATAAAAAAATAAAGAAATTCCTGATACCAATTCTACATTTTTATTAGATAATAGTAGATGTATAGATACTGAAATTTGAGAACTAAAAAATGAAAATCTTTCAGAAGATAGAGATGTTGATACATTGCAACAACAACAAAAATAAAGATATCAACTAATACAAAAAGAGATTGAAATAGAAAGATATAATAGATATAGAAGACAAATTGCAAACTTTTATAATAACAGACAAGTTGCTTCTCTATCAAATAATAATACTCTTGCAAATAATATTAATAGACTAAATCAAACACTAATGAAAGACAAGTTGCTTCTCTATCAAATAATAATACTCTTGCAAATAATATTAATAAACTAAATCAAACACTAATGAATAATGATCAAAATAAAATGATTTAGTCAATTTGAGAAAACAAAGATATAAAACTCTATTGTATGATACTATTGAAAGTAAAATAAAAAAAAATAATAATAAACAATCATTCGAAAATAATGAATAATATGATCTATTAATACAAACTTTGGAACAATCTTTCCTAGACTTACTATATACTGTAGAACAATTGCAAGATTTAAGAAAACAACTATTATTAAAAAAAAGAATCATATTAAATAAAAAAAAAATAGATAATGTAAATAATGCTTTCAAGTTACTATTTGATGAAAAAAACAAAATATAAAAACAAAGTATCATGTTTGATATAAGAACTGCTTTTGGGTTATATACAAAATTTTTCTTACAGTAATTATATTAAAACATTGTTAGATGGTGATTATTTTGATAATGAAATTAATAAATTGGCAGACTCAAATGAAAAAGATATTCTATAAAGCTTCATATAAAAACTGCTAAAATTTACAAAGACAAAGAACAAGATCAATACTTTATTGATAAATCAAATAAACAATTTCATTCAATATGTAATATTAAAAATATAAATAAATTTGTTAATAACATAATTAATAAAAACTATCTATACAAAACAATAAAAGAAATATTTGATCAAGAAAATGATGTGATAACTTTTAGTAAAATAGTTGAACCAAATGATAATAAATAAATTTTTTTCAAGAAAATTAGACCACTAGTTAAAAATCAAGCATATTTGAACAAAATTAATAAAATATTAGAAAAAGATAACTTAGATAAGATGATAGATAATAAAAAACAAAAACAAGCATCTAGAAGAATGAAAAAATAAGAGAAGATATTAACATGATAATTCCTAAAACATGACTATTTCTTATAAAACAAGGTTACCAAACTTTTGATATAACAATAAGTGTTGAAGAAATTTTAAAATTATATAAAGCCATTATATTTAAGAAATTAGTTATCTAAGAAGCTTAATATTAAATAATATTACAAATATTCAGATTCATCAATATTTAACAAATATGATATAAAAGCTGAAAAAGATAATAACTTCTTTATAAATATAAGAACAATAACAAAACATCATTTTCTTGATATAGTATTCAAAATTTTAATTAAAAGAAAAACAGATCTAAAATTAGATGAAAAAATAAGAAATATCTTTGATAACCTTGAAGTTTAATACAATCATAAACATATCTTTAGCAGTTATAGAAATTCAATAAAAAATAAAAGAAAAAGATAATGAAATTAAAGAACTTAAAAAAATAATAAAAAAATTTGAACCAAAACAAAATTAACTAGAATATTTGAAAAACAAAACTGAAGAACTCAATGAAGCATTAAAACAAGTTTCTGTAAAATTTATTGTAGTTTCATTAACTAGTTTTTTATTAAATTTTTAATATTTATTTAGACATATAATTAAAACTCTTATAATAATTTATATTTTTATTTATATTGCAAATTAATTTTTCAGTATAGACATGCAATGTATTATAATTTAATTTATTAATATATTTAATAAAATTTAACAATAAAACAAAACTACAAATAATTAATTAAATAGAAAATAGAAAAACAAAATTTTTGAAAATAACAGATTTGATCAAATTTCTTTGATTAATCTGAGATTTTACAAATTTTTAGACAATAAATATATCTTTTTATTATTTATTAATTCAAATTTAAATAAATTTCTAAATATAAAAAAATGTATGAATGTAAGACCATCTTTAATTAAATATATTGCTTCAGTGTTTAAGTTTTTAACACAACCTTTTGAGTATACTGAATAAGAACAATAATAAATATATATATCTAACATACTGTTGAAAATATTTCTGGAAACTAATATTTTAAATTGTGAATAACAAAATTTTTTATAATAATTATTTCAATTTTTTTGAACAACTTAACTAATAATCCAATCTTTAAATAATGTTAAATATTGTTCAAAAATTTCTTTCTTGCATTCTTTAATCTCATTATTTAGTTATATTTGAAATTTATTATTTATATTTTCTACTAAGATGTTTAATAAAATACTTGTAACAAGTTTATAAAACATTTTATTAACAGATAATAAAGATTTTATTTTGTCAAAAGATATATAATCATATTCTTCAAAAATTACTAAGTATAAGTCTTTTGAAAACATTTTAATTTTACATAACAAAAAATCTAATTAGTTTAAAACTGATTAGAATATTAAGAAATATATTTGCATTTTTTAGTTTTACAAGTAAGATCAATTCCACTATTTCTACTTAATGTAATTCTGTTACAATTAAAACATTAATTGAAGTTGACTTCACATCTTAAAAAATGATTTACAAAATAAAATAAATCATTTTCTTAATAAACATTCAAGACCTTGTTACTATTCATTTTATAAACTGAAATATTTTTATATTTACAAAGATAAATCTCATATTTATAACTGATACTATAATAATTAAAAACTTTTGATAAATGATCATGATCAAGAAATCTCATTTTAAAATCTTCTCCTTCTTTGACTTGATTAGTGAAAGGTGAATTATAAATATCACAATGATTAATGATTTCTTTGATAAGTAAATTAGTCTTTTTTACAAAAACAAGTTTAATTGTTCTACAACAAGGACAAGTGTTAAACCTATAATTTTGTTTACTTTTTTCTAAATATTTTTTTAATGCACACTTTGAAAAAATATCCAAAACTTTATTATTATCTTTTTTAATCACATAAATTTTCTCTTTTTTATTAATGAAAAATTCATGTTGCTTATTCTAATATTTGTCAAAAAATTTATTTGTAACTTGTAAAGTTGATAACTTTACAATGAGTTGTTTAGTATTTTTATCACACATTTTTTAATTTATATAACAAAAAATCTAATCAGTATGAAACTAATTAGCTTATAAATTTATTTAATTAATAATTTCAATATTACATTTGTATAAATCAAAAGAACATTTGTTTTTAAATCTAATGTTTACTAATTTTATTTCAATATAAAGTAATTCAAGTAAATATTCTTTGCTAATTTTATCAACAATGTTCCTGTCTTTCTCAAGAACAAATTTATGTTCTTTTAAAAAAAGTCTGTTCTTTATCAAGAAGAACATTTTCTTTATCACTCAACTTGATTTGAATATATTTAGTTATATGTCTATTGTTATTAGAATATATAATTAGTCTTCAATAGTTTGTTTTTTTTATTTTCTCTAAACTATCAAAATTGTTCTTTTTTATTTAAAACAACATCATTTTTGTTAGTCAAAACTTGAGACTCAGTTTTAAAGTTATTTGAAGATTGAGACATTTTTAAACAATAGAACTTTACACTAAAAAAAATCTAATTGGTTTAAAACTAATTAGTTATTGGAAAATTTTTTATAATTAGAATTATGAAAAATGAATCTAATCAGTTTATTAAAACTAATTAGATTCTTTATAAACAATTTTCTAACTTTTAGCCAGAAAATTGCTAGTTAATAACATTCTTTGTTTATTGAATGATGCTTTGCACTTTTTTTCTTCTTTAGAGAAGAATCAAGCTTTTTTTTCAAAAACTTTGAAAATCAAAACAAATGCCTATCACCTAATGCTATGCATTGTTTGATAATATGTTTTGATTTCCAAAATTTGGGGCATGTTTGATAATATGTTCGATTACAATATTATAAAAAAAATAATTAATTATTTTAAAAATAATAATTATAGAATTTTATTAATAATAAAAAAAAACATCAATTAAGAAAATATTTTTAGATTGTTAACTGAATTTTTTCACATTGATGCAACTAATTTTAATGCTTCTTTACTATTTAAATGTAGATTATTTTTTTTTACAATTAGTAAATTTGTTTTCATAAATGCATTATAAGAAGATAATTTTTTATTCTCATTTATTTTGATAGCAGCACCATGTTTAGCTAATTTGGCAGCTTTTTTATTTCCAATTACATCTTTATATTCAAAAATGTATATAAAATATATCTGTTTAGGTCTTTTAGCTATTAAAAAATTAATTTTCTCAAATAAATATTTGTTTTTTACATCTTGATTTTTAACTGTTTTCTATTCATTATTTTTCTATTTATAAATCCATGTTTCAATAGAATTAACAACAAAACAACTATTTGTTTTAATCTCAATTACTTTGATTGGATCTTCACATGTTTCTAATACTTTAATTATAGCATATAGTTCTGTATAATTGTTAGTTTGTAAGTTTCCAGTTAAAGGTTCAGCAATTTCTTTACTTCCATCTTTGTGATAAACTCCAATTCTAGCATAAGATTCTTTTTGATTATCTTTATAAGAACCATCTGTATAAATAACTATTTTGTTTTTAGAATTTAGTTTTTCTTTCTTTCTTTTAACTTTTAATTGATATTTTTCATATTTTTTATTTGCTTCTTTTATTGTTAAAAATTTTTTATAATATAATGTAATGTTGTTTACTTGTTTATAACATTCTTCTAAAGTGCTATAAACCCCAGGAGTGCAACCAATTAGAACAATATAATAATATTTTAAAGGCATTCTGAAGAATGAAAAAAGTGCATGAGTGATCATTCAATAAACAAAGAGTGATAAAGTAAAAGTTAATATAACAAGCAAAATTAAATTTCAGACATATATACAGGTTGGGATGCCTTATTTTATCTTTGATAAATATTAATAAATTATATAATTATCCTGTAATAACATTGATATATTATACCAAGTAATTTCTTAAACTCTTGAATTAAAATCATATCAACAACTTCAGATAATGTTAATTTGGTTGTATCAATTTTATATAAGACATTAGATGCTCATTTAATTAATAATTGAGATAATACATCTCATTCTAAAATATTATTGAAAATATTAGTATAATCTTGAGAATTTGGTTGAAAAATACATTGAACTACATGAGTTTTCACATCTGCTGATAAAATTATTTTTACTTCAGTGTCAGGTAAACAGAGTGTAGTAATATCATGACTAACTATAACAAATCCTTTGTTTTTAACTATTTTTCTAATCATTTCATTTATAATATTATATAATTCATCATTTGTTAATATTTGAGCTGCTCTAATTTCTGATTCTTGATATTGTTCTTTATTAAGATATTTGACAGAATTAATCAATTCCAATATCTTTTCTTTAGTGAAGATTTGTTTAATTTGGTTAATTGAGTAATCATTATAGTAATAGCCAACATATTGATAAAATAACCTAGAATCAATAAACTGATAATCATATTGATTTGCAATTGCTTCTCCAACTAATGTTTTTTCAACTGCTGCATATCTATTAATTATGATATTAATAAGTTTCTTAGTGTTTAAATTTTGAAGTATTATTTCCATCTTTTGAGATTATATAGAAAAAAATCTACTTGGTTTCAAACTAAGTAGATGAATTTATTTAACTTTAAAATTAACAAGATAGGCAATTGTAAACAAATTATTAATTTTTATTTCAGAATCAATTTTAGTGAAATCATAATAAAATATAATAAAAATTGATTAAATAAACATTTATAAGTATTATGAAATTTTTAAGCAGCAATGCATAGAAAACTCTCTAGTTTGAAATGTTGTTTTTCTAATTTCTTTAAATCATTATAGTATTGGTTATACATTCAACTATATTAATCATCTTCATCTTCTTCTAAAAAAATTTCTAATAGTAGATTAAAAGAATTAGTGAAAGCTACAAGTTGTAAATGATTTTTTGTCTCAATGAAATTCAGAATAATGTCTTTAACTAATACCTGTTTATAATAAATTTTGGATAAAATAAAAGTAATAAATCAAAAAAAGAAGCATATTTATTACAGAATTCTTGTGCTTTTGAATAAGTAGAATTATTCAAGTTTTTTTTTTGACTTGTTTTGTTTAAAAGAAAATCGTAATAATGATTTTGTATATCAAAATAATTTTTAGTAAACTGATGTTTAAATTAAAGTACTTGAATATTCATTTATACAATTTAATTTCTTTAGCATAAACTAGTTAGATAAATAAGAATTACATAATTAGAATTCTAACTGGTACTAATGTACTAGTTAGAAGTATTTATTAAATAATAAAATAAATTTTTACAAGATATCAATCTAAATATTGATAATAAGTTTGAGAACAATGAGAAGAAACATGATCATATGAATTATATTTAAAATAATACATTTGGTTAATAGGTTCAGTAAGATCAAAAAGTTATATATCTTTTTCATTTATAAACAAAAAAACTTCATTTTTAACTATCTTGCCTTTGCATTGATAAATAACATTATTCAAATTATTTGTAAAGTACCTACATTTTGCAAATTAACATGGATGTTCACATTTATCATATTGTGTTGAATTTGTAAGTCTACAAATAAACTTACAATTACATTGTTCAAATTTCTGTTTACAAGCTATACAACAAGTATGTGAAAAATCTATTTTTTTACAATTCCAACATGATCCTTTATTGAGAAAATATTTGTAATCAGAGAGTGTTTTTACAGAATCAAGTTCATTTAACTTTTTAATAAAAATTCATAAAAAAATAGAATTTTTATTGTAGAATGATTATATGATAAAACTGATTGTGTTGTGTTTTCAATAACTATTGTAGAATGATCATATGGAACTAATAAACATTGTTTTGTGTTTTCAATTAAATGCTGATTTGATTTAATAAAATCAATAAAATATTTTAAAAATAATTCAAAATGTTTAATAAAAATAGAATTAATTGATTGATACATTTTTGAATATAATAATTAAATCAAAATTATATAAGAAAAATCTATTCAGTCTTAGACTGAGTAGATGGTAATTGAGAAATATATATAGGAAATTTTGAAGTATACTTGGAAGATTAAATTTTTTATTCTTCAAATATTTGTAATTGAGAATCAATTGAAGTTACAATCTCAAAACAATTTCTTTCTCTGATTTTTTGCTTTTAAAATTGTTTTTTCCTTGTTTATCTTTTCTATCAATTTTCTCTTTTGATTGTTTTTTGCTTTTGAAATTGTTTTTATCTTGTTTATTTTTAATCTTTTTCTTATTAACATATTTTTTGAATTCATTTAATAGTTCTATTTTATTCTTATAAATTTGTGTATCTGTATAATCGAAACTTTTGATTCAAAACTAAATCTCATAATCTGGTTTATATCTAGATAATAACTTTTTCATTTACATTAATGATCCTTTAGAATTAACACAAACCAACTTTTCTGAATAATCTAAATTTTTGTTAATACTCTGAAGAAGCTTAAAATAATTACTTTGCATTCTAAAAGAACAATAATTATTTTTATAATCACATGGATTATATTGCCAAAGATGCTCATAGAATTTATAATTCTTTTATATTTGCAAATAAAATAATCTTTTAATTTTACTTCTATCATATGTTTAAGAAGATCAAATTTTTCTTTTGGTTTATATTGTTTGTAGATACAAACATAAGATCAGTCAAAATTGATATTATGCCAAGATATGCTATTTTGAATCATGAATGATTCACTTATAATCTTGTATTTTATTGAAGAAAAATATTCAAAATGTGTGATTACATTTCTATTCATTTTTAAAGTAATTATTTTTTAATTACTTTTGAATATCTGAAGCCAAACTTAGTGATATTTGGGCAAATCATTATGATTTTGAAATTTAAGTAGAGTAAATTTTTCAGTCTTTTATAGATGTTTTGAAGAAGAAGAAAAAAAAACTAAGTTTTTTAATTTTATTTTATAGATATTAATCAATTAATATGAATACTAAATTCATATATTTTTACTTTAGAAGTTAGTTTATTTATCAATAATTTGTACTAAACAGGAATCTGAATCAGTAATTTTATAGATTTGAATTGGTTATAGATTAATAATTAATTACCTTTTAAGTATAAAAATTGATCACAAGAATTTGAACATTAAACCTTAAATTGTTATTTATGATTTCAATTGGTTCTTTATGTTTCTTTTTTTAGATAATTATTAATTAGAAATTTCTTTATATTGAAATTCGAACATTGTATCTAAATCAGTAAATCTGATTTGAAATTCATTCATATCAAAATAATATAACCAAATCTATAATTTCTAATATAAAAATTATTAAATTGTTTAATTCTAATCAGTAAAAATACTGATTAGTAAAAATAAATCAGTATTCTGTAATGATTAAGAAATAAAAATTGATTACATATTCCAAATTTGATATTATAAATTAATTATAAAAAAGGATCATTAAAAAAAATAAATTCAAAATATCATAATAAGAAACACTCACAAAATTCAAAATTATTTTTATAATAATTCTTCTAGAACAAGAATTATTTGTAATATCTGTAAAGCATCTTATCCAATTAAAACTAATCTTTCTAATTTAAAAAAATATTTTGCTACTCATTATAAACAAGAATATTGTGAAGCTATAGATAAAAAAAAAGAATGAAAAAATAAAATTAAAGAACTTAATCAACAGAATAAAAGAGCATAAATTATTCAAAAAAATATAAACAAAAAAAATACTTTAATTACTCAAAATAATACTCAAGAAATTTTACTATGTAATGATAATAAATATTATGTGACTGTTCAAGATGAAGTCAATGACAACACTATAAATAAAATTGAAGAAATTATCGAAACTGGTCAAACTTTGATGTCAATTAAAAGAAAAATTGATGAAACTAAAGAAATTAAAAATTTTAAAAAACAAAAACCTGAGAAATTTATTAATATAATTAATAGTATTGAATTAGATGAAAATAGCAATATTAAAATTAAAATCAATAATACTATTAATATTTCTGGCAAATGTAAAATTTTTTTAAATAATTAATAAAATATTATTATTCTAATTATCAAACTTGCTAATAATCAAAGTATTTGAAATTGTATCTAAAAACATATTCATTAGCAACCAAAATATTTGAACTTGTATCTAAAACTTATTTATAATTATAATTTCTGATTGGTCAATAATTAAAGTATTCAAACTTGTACTCGAAAACATATTCATTAGCAACCAAAATATTCGAACTTGTACCTAAAACTTATTCAAGTTTATGATTTCTGATTGGTCAATAATCAAAGTATTCAAACTTGTACCCGAAAACATATTTGTTAGCATCCAAAATATTCGAACTTGTATCTAAAACTTATTCATTATTATGATTTCTAATTGGTCAATAATCAAAATATTTAAACTTGTACCCAAAAACATATTCATTAGCAACCAAAATATTCAAACTTGTATCTAAAACTTATTCATAATTATGATTTCTAATTAGTTAATAATCAAAGTATTCAAACTTGTACCCAAAAACATATTCATCAGCAACCAAAATATTCGAACTTGTACTTAAAACTTATTTATGATTATGATTTCTGATTGGTCAATAATCAAAGTATTCAAACTTGTACCTAAAAACATATTCATCAGCAATCAAAATATTCATACTTGTATCTAAAACTTATTTATGATTATGATTTCTGATTGGTCAATAATCAAAATATTTGAACTTGTACATAAAAACATATTTATTAGTAATCAAAATATTCAAACTTGTATCTAAAACTTATTCATAATTATGATTTCTGATTGGATTTTCTTGAATATCATCTAACTAAATTAGATAAATCTTATTTAGAAATTTATTAAATAATATTTTAAATTCAATTTTTAATATGAAAATTTATATAATATATTTCTGTATTAAAATAATGTAAAATTCTATTTAAATAAGATATAATAAACAAAGTAAAAAAAAATAAAAAATAGACCTTCCTAGATTTTTAAATGAAATTGTTCTAAATGTGATAAAATGTTTGTGTGATGATATTCTCAAAGATATCACAAAATATTTTTATTATTACTATGGAATTATATATTATTAACATCTGAAAAAAATATGTGACAAACTGAGATTAGTAAATAAATAGTTCAGTAATCTTTTTGAAAATGAATTTTTGATACAAATAAAAAAACAAGATGATAATATTCATTTGAGTGATTTTCAAATTTTACTAATTTTAGATATATTATCATGTATAGATGCTAATAAGTATGAGAATTGTATGAATCTTTTT